TTGGTTAATCTTGGAGAAAGAACATGTGGTTGCAAAATGTTTGATGTGGATAGGTATCCTTGTAGTCATGCAATTGCAGCAGCACATATGATCGGAAAAGGCGATATGATATACGAACTTTGTTCTGAATACTACAGTTTCCTGGACCTGGTGAATCTCGAAAAAGAAAATCATGTTCGGTAGGTTCGGTCAGTACGTCAAGGACGTCACAGACGTATGAGTCATAATATTATGTTCGTGCATGTAATGACATTATGATTTCATATTTGGACTAATTCACTAGTGTATTATATTGTAAATACAGTCGTCAAACTGATCAAACTCGTCAAACTCATAACACTGGTCAAAGTCGTAACACGCATTCGGGGTTTCATGTTTGGGGTTTCCGAGTTTGACGTGTTTGACGAGTTTGACGAGTCAACGCGGTCAACCTTTGGTCAAAATTAAATTCCGATGGTTCAAAGTTGTGTACAGGGTCTATTATGACGTATTGAGCGTGTTTTTGTTATAAGGAGAGCATCTGGAAAAATGATAAATTCTACCCTAGACCAATGTGTAACATAAAGTGTAATAGAACATTAGGGTTTCGTTTGGGGGAACATGCATTGGTAAACAAAATAAGGTGTTCAATTCAGTTAGCTCCGATTGTTTTTTACCTATTAAATTTTTTATACGGGGTGTTTATTGATATGTTCATGGTTTAGAATTGATAAATTCGCAAAATCAGATAGTTTGACGAGTTTGACGAGTTTGACGTGTTTGACGAGTTTGACGAGTTTGACGAGTCAACGCGGTCAACCTTTGGTCAAAATTAAATTCCGATGGTTCAAAGTTGTGTACAGGGTCTATTATGACGTATTGAGCGTGTTTTTGTTATAAGGAGAGCATCTGGAAAAATGATAAATTCTACCCTAGACCAATGTGTAACATAAAGTGTAATAGAACATTAGGGTTTCGTTTGGGGGAACATGCATTGGTAAACAAAATAAGGTGTTCAATTCAGTTAGCTCCGATTGTTTTTTACCTATTAAATTTTTTATACGGGGTGTTTATTGATATGTTCATGGTTTAGAATTGATAAATTCGCAAAATCAGATAGTTTGACGAGTTTGACGAGTTTGACGTGTTTGACGAGTTTGACGAGTTTGACGTGTTTGACGAGTTTGACGAGTTTGACGAGTTTGACGAGTTTGACGAGTTTGACGAGTTTGACGAGTCAACGCGGTCAACCTGTGGTCAAAATGACATTCC